ATTGCTTTCTTTATTTCCTTTCAAAATTCTCTTTGTTACTACAGAAGAATCCATCTGGTTTAGTTGTTTGGTTTTTTTAATCTTGTACCCTACTACTTTACTGAATCATTCCATTTCATCCAATTAGATTTAGTAATATTCCTGCTAAATCTTGAATTTTCTACATTTGGATCATATCATCTCTAAATAAAGATAGTTTTACTTCCTCTTTGCCAATTTGGATGCATTTTCTTTCCTTCTAAGGCTTATTGCTTTGGCTAGGCCTTCCAATACATAATTGAGTAGGAGTGGTGATAAAGGGCATTCTTCTCTAGTTCCCATTCACAAGATCATCTCCAGTCACCCTCTCTCAATTGAGAGTCGTGTTGGCTGTTGCTTTTGTGTTCATGCCTAAGTCATATTGAGACCTTTATTTTCCTGTTACTGTTTTCTGGAGTGTCTTTATCAGGGAAGTGTATCACATTTTAGTTAAATGCCTTTTCTGCATCAAGTAATATGATCATGTGGTTCTTTTTATTTTATTAATGTGATGCATTACACTGTCTGTTTTTCTTATGTTGAGCCAACTTTACATACCTGGTATGAATCCCTCTTGGTCATGATGAATTGCTTTTTGGATATGTTGGATTCTACTGGCTAGGAGTTTGTTGAGAACCTGGTCCTTTGTGCTCTCCCCTCTCATAATGGTCTCATTCATGATCTCATCCACACCCTTTCTCCTTCTGTAGTCCTGCATACTTAACCATTCAGTCTCTCTCTGCTCAGGTAACTTAGTCCTTTTTATGCACTGCCTCAACCTCTGCACAGAGTTAGAACCCAATGAAAGGTAGTCATTCCATCTAAATGAAAAACTGTCATCTTAAATCTTCTTATTTGCAAATGGCATTTCCAAAAGTCCTCCCCTTTTCAGTTTGTGTTTTTAAATATAGACTTTAGTTATTCCTTTGAGCACATGAGTATTTGTTTTGTCATTATTGAGGGATTTTGTTTTATTTTGCTTTGCATTTTAGCTTACTTAGTCAATCAACAAGATTGCACTCTTCTTTAGGTCTCCTCAGTTCCTTCTAGGGAGCTCTGGTGGCCCAGTGGCAAGGAGCTGCACTGCAATCTTGAAAGCACACAGTTTGAGGCCACCAAACTGGTCCATGGTAGAAAGATGGACAATCTCCTTTTGTTGGATTAACTGCCTCTGAAAACCCGTCTGAGGGTCAGCGATGGGTCAACTTTGGGTCGGTTCTGACTCTGCCATATACAACAACAACACTTCTTTCCCTCCAGCCCTCTCTGCTTGGCTTTTGCTCTTGTTGAAATCATACCTTCCACTTAGAGAAAAAGGAACTCTGGTGGCATAGACCTCAGCAGGTTGTGCTGTTGATTTAAAGGCAGTCTGACTCCACCAGCGACTCAGCCTCAGAAATCGATAGAAGATTGCTATGAATTGGATCCAGCTCCACCATAGTGAGTTTTATTGGTTGGTTGTTTCTTACAGAAAAGAACCCAAAGGTCACTTTCAGGACTGTACTCAGTGCTCTAGTCCCAGGATCGTGCAGCAATGCCAGGCCAGTGGAAAGGTTACACTGTCTGTGGCTACTGAGCCCATCCTAACTCATGACAAACTCACGTTGCACAGGGTAGAACAACTCAGCAGGTTTTCCTGGCTGTAATAGCCATGGAAGTGGATAGCCTAGTCTTTGCACCATAGCACCATTCAGTGGGTTCAAATATCTAATATTTTATTTATTTTTTATTATACTAGTTTAGTTACAAAATTTTAATACATTGGTTTTTCAGACCAGATTCTTCCAATTTCCCTCATTGCCCCCAACAAATTGTACAACCCTGATTAATCCTCCCTCCCCCCCACCTCATTCCTCTGCTTCTACCCTCCCTTGGATCCTCATACTCAGTCTAAAATAATGGTTTTATACAATATTTGTCCTTGTGGGACTGAGTTAGTTTAATGACTTTTCAGTCTCTCCCAAGCTAGGTAATAATTTACAAAATCATTGCTCCTGTGTGCTGTGTAGTATTCCATTGTATGAATGTACCATAATTTCTCAATTCATTCAATTGTGGTTAGACATCTGGGCTGTTTCCATGTTCTTATGATGGTGAATAACGCTACTCTGAACATTGGTGTACAAGCCTCTGTTTAAACCTCTGTTTAAGCCTCAGTTCTCATTATCCTGGCCAAAAGAGCACTGGTGACTAGTCCCTCGTGTGTTTCACTGCTCATCAACATGCCAGGTCTCTCCTGGAATGGAGGTCACTATGAATCAGAACGACTTCTTTGGCAGTGAGTGAGAGTACAGCTCAAACCATTTTGTGCCACCTGCAACAGGAGGCAGGTACGGGGGAGGGGTGGTCTGGGTGGCGCAGCAATTAAGTATTCAGCTGCCAGCCAAAAGGACTACTGTTCCCACTCTGTGGCAGAAAGGTGTGGCAATCTGCTTCTGTAAAGATTTTCCAAACCTCTATACCACTTACACTACAGCACCACGGTCCCCATCAGGAAAGATTAAGGCCAATGCCACTATCATAGAGTTAGAAGAGACTCGTAGCTGACTCTTCAGTGATTTTTTTTGAGGCTGTAAGTTATACGAGAGGCCTTCTAAGCATGTTCCTACTTTGTCTCTTATGAACTTTACTTGGGGCTTTACTCCCAGGTCTCTGATCCACCTTGAGTTAATTTTTGTGTATGGTGTGAGATGGGGATCCTGTTTCAGCCTTCTGCAGATGGAAGTCCAGTTTTGCCAGCATTATTTCCTGAAGAGGTTATCGTTTCCCCATATGATAGGTTTTATTTCCTTGTCAAATATCAGCTGACTCTATTTCAGGGTTCTCAATTCTGTTCCATTGGCCAATGTGCCTGTCATTGTACCAGTACCATGCTGTTTGGTTACTACCACTGTGTAGTAGTAGGTTTTGAGGTCAGGGAGTGATATGGCTCCCACTTCATTTTGGTTTTTCAGAAGTGCTTTGCTTATCTGTGGTCTCTTTCCTCTCCAAATAAACTTGACAATTTCCCTTTCAATCTCCTTGAAAAATGAATTTGATATCTGTATTGGGATTGTGCTGATCATGTAGATTGCTTTTGGTAGGACTGTCATTTTCACTGTACTGAATCTTCCTATCCATGAATGGGAAACATTTCTTCATAAAGAGGCTGAAAAATACAGCCAGAAATGCACAATCGATAGAGGATAAAATTGATGAATGGAACCTTCTAAAGATTAAATCCTTGTGTGTATCAAAAACTTTTTCCAACAGGATGAAAGAAAACCTACTGACTGGGAAAAAACATGTGGCAATATCATCTCCTCAGACAAGGGTCTTATAATAAAGGTTTGCAGAATATTCCTGGGCCTCCAAAATTAAGAGGTTGATAATCCAATTATAAAATGGGCAAACAATAGTGAAAAGACTTTTCACATTTGAATGGCCAAAAGACACATGAAGAAATGCTCAAAATCACTGTCAATAAGAGAGATGCAAATCAAAAACCACAATGAGATGCCAGCTCACTCCAGTAGCAGTGGCAAAGTTTAGCAGGGCAGCAAGTAATAAATATTGGAGAGGATATGCAGAGGTGGGAACTCTCATGTATTATTGGTAGAATTATAAAATGGTACAACCACTCTGGAAGGCAGATTGTCTTTTCCTCAAACAACTGAACATAGAAATTCCATATGACTCAGCTATTCTACTAGGAATACACCCCAAGGAAATTAGAACAAAGACACAAATGGAGATTTGTACACCAATGTCCATAGCAAATGCCCAACCACAATTGAATGGCTTCTCAGTTGTGGTACATTCACACAATGGAATACTATTCAGTACTCAGGAGCAATGATTTAAAAAAATTAACTTGGGGAGCTCTGGTGGCCTAGTGGCAAGAAGCTGCACTGCAATCCCAGAGATAAGCGGTTTGAATCCACCAGATGCCCTGTCGAAGAAGGAAGGGCAATCTCCTCCTGTACCAGTCAGATCCAATTTGACGGTACACACACAAAATAATTTAAAACTTTTTTTAAAAAATTAAAAAATAACTTGGAAAAGACTGGCAGCATCATGCTGAATGAACTCAGTCCCATAAGGACAAATACTTCATAAAACCATTATTGTACAAATAGGAGGATGACTAGTAAAATATGTATGAAAATCCAAGGGAAGGGGTGAGGGTAGAAGGGTGAGGATGGGTACGGGCGAAATCACAGAGTTGTACAATTTGGTGCGTGGGAGGAGGTGGAAAAAGAAATGGGAAAGATCTAATGAGGACCTGAAAAGAAGCAAACCAATATAAAATTTTTTTTGAAAAAAATTACATGGGAGGAGATTGCCCATCTCCCTCCCGACGCAAACTCCACAAAGGCGCCACCTTTGGGTGAGCAGCCAATCCCTGCGAATCAAGTCACCAGAGCTCCCTTGGCAATCCTAAACACTCTCTCGTAGGATCGGATCGTTAGGAATCTGAATCCTCTCTACAGCACACACAACAAAAGGGGCCTTCAAGTGGGACATAACCCGGCAAAATTCAGCCAGTGACCCCTGTTCGTTTATGCAAAACTGCTCTTGTGCCGCCTGTTACATCAACACCATCCCTATTCCACTCCTCCAGCTCCCACGCCCCATACACACACACACACACACACACACACACACACACACCCCTGAAAAGACCTTGCAGGAAATTGACAGCAGATGTCCTTTGAATTCTAAAAGATCCTTGGAAAACAGAAAGAGTCCTGGGAATTCGGCATTTTTTTTAGGGTCCCAGGACTCAGTAGCTCCGTTTACCTGAGAACTAGCATTCCCGTGGGTTTGCAAGGATGTTGTGTAGTTGTGTAGGGGGCAGCACAGTTGAGGGAGCGCGGAAGGGCATGCCCTAAATGCAGGGCTCATTGATAAGGCTGCTCGGGGCGAAGGAGAGGAGGGGGAGGCGAGGCCCTGGAAGGGGTGGGAACCTCTGGGCCGGCCCAGGCCGTGTCCGGTGCGCGCGGGCGTGCGCGCGGCATTGAAATGCCCTGCACGTCGGGGTGGCGGGACAGAGCCCAGGGCTCGCGCACAGGCTCCCGGCCTCCCGCTCAGCCCCCCGCAGCCATGGCTGAGAACTCTGACAAAGTTCCCATCGCCCTGGCGGGACCCGAGGACGTCGAGTTTTGCAGCCCTCCGGTGAGTACAGTCCCAGGCCCCGAGATGGCTGCAGGGTTCGCCTCCTCGCAGGGCCTTGGCTGCGCGTAGGGGTCTGGATCCACTGTATCACTGCTGGGTCAAGGATTTGAGCCACCGAATAGATGGTAAATCTATTTCTCCAGTTTAGCGAGTGGGTGGGTAAGGGGGGCTCTGGATCCACAGACGGGTGTGGAGGGGAGCATGGAACAGCAGTCAATACGGGCGCCCTGCAGCGGACTGAATGTGCCAGTCCCTGGGCCCCGAAGTTTGCTGGAGCACCGGAGACCCTGGGGATGGAGGGACTGGAGGAAAGTTTAGGGAAAGGCGGTGCTCCAGGGAGCTCAGAGGAGCTGTTCCTCACGCCCCGGGCACTGGGCACTGCGCGAGGTCCAGGGGTGCGGGCGGCGTAGATGTGAGCCGCCACCCTCCGGCCGGCCCGCAGGTGTACGCCACGGTGACCGTGAAGCCCTCCAGCCCTGCGCGCCTGCTCAAGGTTGGAGCCGTGGTCCTCATTTCCGGCGCTGTGCTGCTCCTCTTTGGGGCCATCGGAGCCTTCTACTTTTGGAAGGGGAGCGACAATCACGTAAGTCCAGAGGCCAGTGGCACGCGGGGTAGTGGGACCCTCGCTGTCACCATCCAAATTCCCCCCTAGGTGGAGCCAGAGCGCTTGTGGGGGGTGCCCTAGTCCGCTCCCCTAAGGATTCCTATTCACTCGCCCTCACACCTAGATTAAGCTTCTCTCTCTGCACCACCTCCACCCTTCTTCTGTACAACTCCAACACCCTGTTTTCTGCTTGTAAGCAACTTTGTGGAAAAGCAGATCAGAATGCTAGATTGCAAAGCATAACCTAAAAAACCAGATCCGCTTCTGGCCGATTCTGCCCGACTCAGGGATCCTGTCGGGCAGAATAGAATTGGATTTCCAAGATCAAATGTAATCCATGTGAACAGACACGGCTTCATCTTTCTCCTGCAGAAGAGCAGAAGGGTTCCACCTGCCTACCTCTGAGGGAGCAGCCGAGTACTTATATCTGGTACTCGCACGGCTTGTCGAAATAGAGTTGTGGGAAAACGCTATGGGCTTTGGAGGGAAAGCATTTTCAGCCTGTCTTGGCTGGGAGTTTGCATCAAGCAGTTGTGTAAGGCACCTAATCTCTCTGGTTTCAGGTTACTCATCCCTAAAGGATAAAGTGTAATTAAATTATCTCACAGGCCTCTTTCAACTGGTAAAGGTTGTGAGTCCAAGAACCTAGGGCAAATAGAAAGAAAAATTCTCAAACTCATTGCCCATCTATACTCATGGAAGTCAGGAGAAGCATCAGCATAGAACCGTGCTGAACAAGGTTTTCTTGGTTATAATCTTGCAGGGGCAGATCCCCAGGCCTTCCCGGGTGCAGCTGGATAAATTCAAACTGCCAACCACTTGTTTAGTAAACAAATAAACAAAACCCCAAACCGTTGCCATGTTCTCAACTCTGTCTCAAAGCGACTCGCCAGCAAATCATTTGTGCCACTCAGGAACCCTAGGACAGTGATCTCATTGCCCTGGGTCAGAACAGACTCAAAGCTGACACTCTAGCGGCTTTTCAGAAGCAGTAAATTACAAGATTGCCTGTCTCTCTGTCTCTGTCTGTCTCTGTCTGTCTGTCTGTCTCTCTCTCTCTCTCTCTTTCGTGATTTGATCAGAGAGGAGAGCGGAGAGCAGTGCAGTTTAGGGTTAGGAGCACACCACCCTACCAAATAGACCACCAGAGCTCCCCAAGACAAAAAAAGTATGAGCATCTTCAGACTCAGGAGCTGGAGAGGAATTTGACCCTTTCAAAGGTTTGATGGCGCTCTTTTTTTTTTCTCTGCCCACCCCCACTCCCCATCTCCATCAAAACGCTTTTCTTTCTTGTTGTTAAAAAAGTCTGCCTCCCTTAAAGGTAGCAAATCCATTTTAAAATCAATGCCGACCTAGTCACATGTGATTTAGTGGTAAATGTTTCACTACCTGCTGTCCTACTTTCTTTGTATGCAACTATTTATTTTAAAGCTCTACTGTCTCTCAAGGAGTATAAAAACCAGCTTGGAACTTTACTGGGCAGAATTCCAGCGGGCTCTCAAAACGCTCCAAATTTTGTTCACCTATGTAAGAGGGAGCATTTTATCTTGATGACCATTTGCCAAGTCTGGTGTAAGCTTATTTCTTCTAATGGAAAAGAATTCCATCTCCATGGCACACACAAAGGGCTGCTTCTTAATCACTATCCTCCAAGGATCGGTGACTGCTGGGCTCCCCCTCTCTCCCACCATGAAATTCAAAGCATGAGCGAATTCCAGTACTTAGAGAAAATGGTGCTGAAAGCAATTCAACCATTTTACACATCACATCTTCCGCAGTCACTGCATAATTTGTATTTTTAACTCAAATGCCTAATGTAGATAAGCATGCCATTTAGCACTGAGTCTGGTTTAGAAACTATATCAAATTTGCAAGCATCGATTTGTAAGATCGGAATTGCACAGTATTTTGTGTATATTTGAAAAGTGCCTTAATGTATTTGTATTTTAAATATAGAAGCTGGGCCAGATGCTTATATTTGAAAGCAGCATATCTGAACATGAGAACTGATTTCAATCTCTGCATCTCCATTATTGGCAGAGTTCAGATTGTCATCCCTTTGGGAAATCTTATGGTATTGGAATGTAAATGCAGTCTTATAGATGATAAAACATCAGTGGTATAGGATGTTCAGGTCTTTGCTTTTGGGGTGAGTGAAGACTTGGGGCATGATATATATTAAAATAAATGTCATTTGGCATTTAATTGTTGAAGGTAAACAAGCTTCTAGAAAGAGCATCTGAAGACATGGGACTCCCTTTTTTCCTCTTTACTGCAAAAGGGGGCATTGTCCATTTCAAAAGAGCAGTATTAAATTCTAAGAATGTAGAGCAAGAGTGAATCACTTTTTTATTGCCAACCATCAAAGTTATTGCTATTTTCTAAACAAGTAGCAAGATGAAGACGATGGTGGTCACATTTTCTCGCCTTCTCCACCCCCCCCCGAAAATGTTCTAATTCTGATTCAAAATATTTGAGTCTCAAAAACCTATCACAAAACACTAAGTGGAGTAAATTTGATAGTATTTATGCATGACACACGTATGGCTCTGCTTCTCTGGAATACAAATCTAAAGAATACAAATAAAACATAATAAATTGTAAGTCTCCATACTACCAAAAGACATCCCTGAAGCGAATGGATTATCCACTTTGAGGATTTTCTGTGCCTCTGCTCCATATAGTGGTTTTCAGAGGAGAACCAGCAGTAATTCACCTATGCTTTTCATAGGAGTAAATTCCCCTAGGACTGGTTCACTCAAATTTAGTTGAAGGACTGGGAAGCATCAGGGTGCTTATAACTGGGGGACAACTGGCTACTCTCAAATATTAAGGCCATTTCTCATCCATACAATTGCAAATGGAACAAGGCATGAAAATAGGGGGGATTCTCATCAATCAGAAATAACTGACAACCCTGTGGGATGAAGGATGAGATCATTGCCAGCAGCCTTTCTTCTCAAATGACCTTTTTATTTAGATGTTTTTTTCCTCCAAAACATTCTGTAATTAATCATATAGAATGCATGTTTTATTAAAAACTCATTAACAAATATCCTTGGTTGTAAAAGGCACCACACTGAGCAAAATTTTGGCAAATAGAAACCTCATTGCACTTGGCTAGAAATAGCCTTAGGTGCCAACCGTTCCATTAGCTGAGCCTAGATAATGCGGTGGCCACTCTGCCAGCCCAACCTCCTCTGAGCCCTTGGAGGCTAATACATTGGAATCTGCTGCTTACTGGCCACCCTCTGCTTCAGGAGTGTACAGACCTCTCAGTGCTGCCCCCTACAGGCAGTGAACCGCTATCAAAGATAGGCAGGAGCTGCATTACCAAGGAGGCAATGTCTACTTAGGGAGTAGTTGAGGGGGATATTTCTGGGTGGTGGAAATGATTAATGCATTCTACTGCTAACAGAAAGGCTGACGGTTCCAATGCAACCAGAGTGCTTCTGAAGAAAAACCTGGTGATCTACTTTAAAAAAAAAATAAATTGGCCATTGAAAACATTATGGAGTAAATGTCTCCTTTAATACAGATGGGGTTGGCATGAGTCAGAGTCAGATCAATGGCAGCTGATGCTGGTTTATTGCAGGATTCTGGGAGTGAGGAGAAAGTGTAATTAGAATCACTGGCTACTCTCTCTTCTCCTTAAAACATACTAAAAATTTATTAATCATTCATTTCTTAGTTGTTTTGCTAGTAAATGATGTATTCGTAGAGTGTTACATTACCAACCAAAAGGTCACGTGCTTCTCTGGTGGTTGGGTCCACCAGCAGCTCTGCAAGAGAAAGATGGGCAATCTCCTCCTGTGCAATTTACAGCCTCAAAAACCTAATGGAGGATCAGCTATGAGTCAGTTCCAACTCAATGGTAGTGAGTTTGGTTTTGAAAGTTTTGCTAGTAAATGATCAAGTGCAATGCTTCAAAGGGAAGAGCTTCTTACCATCTGAGTAAAAGACACACCCAGTCACCCCTGGCTAGCAGGAACACTCAACACTGCCTGCCAGGCTTCTCTGACAGTAATGATTAACTCGTGTGAACAGAGAGCACCGGCATAGAACAGAGCCTGCTCTCCAGACCTTGCCTGTAGAAACCACTGGCTCAGCCGCAGAAAACAGGCTTCCTAAACTGTGATAGAGACCACCCGAGGTACAAGGTAAAAATTGCTTTTGAGGGGGCTCTGGTGGCCTTGGTGGCAAGAAGCTGCACTGCAATCCCAGAGGTGTGCTGTCCAAATCTACCAGATGCTCTGATGGTGAAGGAGGGACAATCTCCTGTACCAGTCGGATCTGATTTGACAGTACACACACAAAAAAAAATAATAAAATAAATTAAACATTTTTACATTGCTTTTGGTGGGCTGTGCTCTAACCAGACAAGTTTGGGACTAGAGAATTGCAGGGATCTAAGCTCTGGGGCTTATTGGTAAGAAGGTGTGCTGCCAATACAAAGGTAACTAGTTCAAATCCATCATCTGTATTGTGGGAGAAAGATGGACAGTCACCTCCCGTGTGATTTATAGCCTCTGAAAACCCATCAGAGAGTCAGTTATGAGTCGGTTCTGACTCAACAGAATGAGTTGTTTTTCTCCTTCTTTAGAAGAGGAGGAGCAGAGAGTTGTTGGAACAAAAATAACCAACTGCCATTGGGGCCAAACTCACTGTGACCTCATGTACATCAAAGTAGAAACGGTCCAGAGGGTTTTTCAATAGCTGACTCTTCAGAACCAGATCAGCAGGCCTTTTTTTCCAAGGTGCCTCTGGGTATTTGAACCTCCAACCCTCTGATTAGCCATGTGCACCGTCTAGCGAGTCTGTCAGCAGAAATAGGACAGCAGTGTTTTCTGTTCTGCTGACAGAATGTTGTGCCTGCAAGGGTACTGGACAGCGATGTCATTTCAAAATCTCTGCTGAAAAGATGAAACAAGACTCTGCCGATCTTGTCATAATGAGTTTTCTGCAAGTAATGATCCAATAACAGATACTTTTCCACTGTTTATCCAACTAGCAGGCATTCTTCATAATGAGGCAGAAGCAACAGACTTAAACTGAGCCATTTGCAGCTCTGGCTTCTTGACCTAACACTAAGGGACCCCACTATCTTTCACTAGTTCAAATTTCTCCTCTTTTTAAAGATCTGTGTGCCTCAAAGCCAGGGATGAAGGAGGAAAGCATAGCCACCCACCCAAGACCGCCCCACTATACACAGAAAGATCTGGTGGGGCAGCACATTGCCCTGTTGTCTTCTGCAGGTTGCAGGAGCAACCTGCAATAATGTGTTCTGAAGCAATGTCCATAACGAGGACATCATGCTTGGAAAAGGGTAGGGTCAGCGAAAAAGGGTAGAGCTTCCGTGAGATAGGTCTCTGTGGCTGCAGCAGTGGGCTGACGCCCAGAGGGGACTGTGAGGGCGTTGTGGGACTGGGGAGGGTTTTGTTTCATTCTGTTGGATGCAGGGTTCCTGTGCATCAGAGCTGAGTTGATAGCACCTAGCAACAATAAGCAGTGTCCTAACAAGATGTCAGCTCACAGAGACCCTTTGAATCCTCTAATTGAGTGATAAACTTGAAAGAAATGTGAAACTGGACAGATGTTTGCTTTGGGGTATGATTTTGTTGGTTTGGTTTTGGTTGTTTTTTGTGGTTTTTTTCCTCTTAAAACACTCTAACGCAGTGTAAATCAGAATCTGTGTGCTTAAGTTGCAAGTGCACGAGCAAAGGAGAAGATCATCCACTAGACGGTCTCCTGCTATGTCTCTTCCCCTCACCTGGGGCGATGCTGTGGAACGTCAGAGCACTGGGGACTTACATGAATGGAGGAGCACTGGTGAGGTCCAACCTCTTCATCGTTCTCTCCAGGCAACTCCCCAGACGTGGAAGCAAAGTGCAGCACCTGCCACACATCCCAGGCATCGCATTATAACAAAATGTCCTATCACCAATGTCAGTCTGGAGGCTAAGGTGTGCCTGATACAGACCATGGTCTTCGCTGTTACTTGCTATGCATCAGAAAGCTGGACAATGACTATGGAGGACAGAAGGAGAATTGATGCCTTTGAGCTGTGGAGCTGGAGAAGAGTATTGAATGTACCATGGACTGCCAAGAAAACAAACAGATTCCTGGAGAGGGTTAAACCAGGCTGCTCCTTGGAGGCAAGGATTCTGAGGCTTCGTCTGACATACTTTGGACATGTTGCAAGGAGGGACCAGTACTTGGAGAGGGACATCATGCTTTGGAGGGTGGAGGGACAGTGCAGGAGAGGAAGACCCTCAGTGACTTCGTGTCCAGGGTAATGGGGGTAGGTGTGTCAGAGACAATAAGGTTGGATCAGGATAGAGAAGGTTTCAGAGCTGTTGTCCATTGGGTCACTATGAGTTGCAAGCAACTCTATGACACATAACCACAACATCATCACACAATATGCCTGCCCCATAGAGCCAGTAAAAAGAGGAACTGCTTATTTTGAGCCACAACAGGTGTGCACCTCAACCTCTCTGCAAATGCTGTTCCATGTCAGGTATGCCAGTGCTGTCTGGAGTCCTTTCTATAAACCACACTCCGTGCTTACTGTGGACCAAAGGATTACAAAAGCTTTCAACATAAGGTGCCACAGAAGTTGTATTCAAGAATCAACCCAATTACCCCTCCGTCTCCTCTGTTCCTGTTCATATATCCTTGGTTCAGTGAACTTCAGTGGCACAGACTGTAAGGAATTCCTCTGCTAACCCCAAAAGTAGTGTCACTCTGGCAGTTTGAATTTACCAGTGGCTCCTTGGAAGAAAAGTGAGCCATCTCTTCCCCAGCTGTTTATAGCCTCAAATACTCAGTGGAGGGTCAGTGACAAGTTGGTTCCAACTTGAAAGCAAAGAGATCATCAGGTCCTGTCTTCATTGTAGAGTTGAACTTTAGAAAAGAAATAGCTATGCTCAATTCCCATCACCACTACTAATCCACAGGGGGGAACACATCAAGTTGGATCTAACTCATAGCAACCAATGTGTGTCAGTGTAGAAATGTGTTCCATTGAGTTTTCAGTGACCATGACCGTTTAGAAGTAGAACTTTCAGGGATTTTTTTAGAAAGTAGAACTTTCAGGTTTTTCAGGTAAGAGTTACTTTAAGTGGACTCGAACTGCCAGCCTTTTAGTTAATAGCTATTCTTAACTATGTACACAATTTGTGGACTCCAGTTCCGCCCCAGAAGTCATGATTTGGTTGGCCCAAGAATGATAAAACCCAGGTAACTCCACTGAAAATTCTGCCCTGACATTTCTGATCCGCAGCACTGAGCTATTTGAATACAAATCAGAGAACAGCATAGGTTTTACTTTAAGGTATTTTTTTAACTCACTGTATTAAATTATTAGCATATGGATGAAGTCCCACTATATTAATGTATTACTATTAAGAATGCTCCAGTGTATCTCTAAAGAATATGAAATCTATTCTCTTCCTATCCTGCAGGTCTAAAGATAAGCCTCGAAATGCTCGAAAAAGAAAGCATCACTAATTCTTATGTTCCCTTCCAGATTTACAATGTCCATTATAGCATGAGTATCAATGGGAAATTACAAGATGGGTCAATGGAAATAGATGCTGGGAACAACTTGGAGACCTTTAAAATGGGAAGTGGAGCAGAAGAAGCAATTGAAGTTAATGACTTCCAGAATGTAAGTCTATTTCATGCATTTAGAAAGTTTAACCAGGCAAACCAAGAGGGGGGACTTTCTACTTCAGGGTAAATCGGCGTCTCTCACACACCTCTGAGTGGTCAAAGTTCTTCATGGCTGTGTTCAGAAGGCTAATCCGCACTCATCACTCAGCACATTTGCTGAGAGGAAGGAACAGGTCTCGTCTATATTTTCACAAGAAAACAACCCCTTAGCATTGAAAAGAGTAGGTTCTACTTGAAATTATGTAAAATCTTGACAGAATGATTTTAAATTCTTTTTTTTTCTCTTCACTAATATTGTGAATAAAATACTCAAATGATTCTGTAATCTTGGAACTTGTAATGTCTGAACCTTTTAGAGAGGAGAGAAATCTTAATGACCTAATAATCTCATTAGCAACAAGAGGGATCTATTTACATGCTTTTCTCAAGTCCAGTGATTTCCAGTTTAATCCAGAAAATTACCATGGAAGAACTTCCTATTATACCACATGTGTTTTCTTGTCATGGCCTCCTATAGGTTAAGGTCTCCTGTGGACAAGGCAGTGTGTTTAAGTTGTTTTTATTTTTATGAAAATTCCATTTACAGGCAACTTGAGACATTAAGTAATGTATGGATGCATTCCTGTGTACATCCGCAAACCAAAGAGTCACTCCAGGCTTGTTTACCGTTCGCCCACCAAGCAAAGAACAGTTGCTGGCTCCAACTCCTGGTGGGCCTGTGTGTCAGAGTAGAACCATGCTCCGGAGGGTTGGTTTTTTTTTTGGGGGGGAGGGGTTTAAATCATGCAATGAGCAGCTCAGCGCTTTAACCAGTTGCTCATATTCATATCTTATTCTTTTTCATGTTCTAAGAGGAAGTGTCCTGGGGGGAAAAAGATAGGGAGCTCTTGTTGCTGAGGAGATAAGGTGCTGCACTACCAACGCAAAGATCAGTGGTTAGAATACACCAGTTGCTCCAGGGGAAAATATAGGCAATCTCTTCCTATGTGATTTACAGCCTCAGAAAACCCACTGGAAGGTCAACTATGAGTCTGTTCCAATTTGATAGCACATAACATGAGAAGATGATCCTTTAAACAATGTCTCTCTCCCCTGAAAGTTTATTTGTCTACACCTTATTAACCTATCTCCTTCCAAGTCATGGGAACAACTAGTGATGCCTTTCATTTGCTTGGAAGAATTTCCCTTACTGGTACCAAAAACACATTTCTCAGGTCCTTTGGAATACTAAACAGATGGTCACATCCAAGCCTTGGTGAATTCAGTAGTGACAGCCTGTGGGGCAGGCTCTGTGGTCCCTATACGTGTGTCTTGCACTGACTTTAGTCAGAACTTTGCAATGGTTCTGGTCTGTGCACAAGTATAATTTCTCTGGACCTCTTCAAAAGCTTTGACTGCAAAACCCTGTACAGAGCATAATCAGTTTTTTTCTTGTACTGCTCAATATAATCTCATAAAAGGTGACTTTCCTTACATACCTCATTCAATCCAGAACAAAATTGAATATCTAAGACATACCACAGCGTCAAGAGAGGCAAAGGGAGCTCCAAAGATTAAAAAAAATAATAATAATAACCCATCTCTCTCAAGATGTTCACATACCAAGAATATACCATTAAAATATTTTAATCCCAAACCTATATTTCTGTTTTATAATCCTTTGGCTCTCTCTAATAATGGTATTGATTGTGTTTTGTTCTCAGAGGCCAGCAGGCCCACAAATATTTTATAAACTGATCAATTCTCTTTGATAGCATCCACATTTCTTTAAGTCAGAACTGGTGTGTAGGACATTTTTTTGATGGATAGAACCTGTTAGGGGTTTAAACAAGATTGGGCCTTTGAAAACACATGAATCAGCCACTATGGTATTTGTGTTAGTGCTTACTCGTATCTGAAGTCATCAAACTCAAGAAGCATGGAGTGAGGCCTACTGTGTGTAAGGGCCACAGGGAAGGAAGACTTAAGAGCTCAGAGTCCAGTGCAGGAGAAGGGTGTGCACACAAGCCTGCCACACGGAGGGAGAACAGGGTACCCTGGGAGCACAAGGGGGAAGGATCCACTCCAGCCTGTAGAGTTTCACAGAGGTGGTAACAACGGAATCAGGTTTTGAAGAACAGCTGGGATTTCATGGGTCTGGGACATGGAAGTAGAACATCAATTCTGCTAACATCTACAAAGACTCTATTTCCAACCAAGCTCACATTCACAGGTTCCAAGCATTAGGATTTCAGCATATCTAGTAGGACACACTTCAATTCATAGCAGTTGAGAAGACGCCGAAAAGGGAAGGTAGGTAGGTAGGTAGGGTCAGATTACGAAAGGCTCTGAAGTGCAAGTGAACAGTCTCCTCTGTTATCCTAACACTTTACCAAGATTTTAGTAGAGCCCAGAGAAGAGACAGCACTGTTACTACACTGTTACTACTAAATTGAGAAATTTAAGAAAATCTAGGTCAGTTCATAGTCTCTATGTTACCGTTAAGAGGGTCACACCTTCACAAGCCTCAGTACTGTTGGAAGAAGTCAACACTGTCAGACCTCCTAGGACCTCTCTTCATGAGTCATTTTTTCAATTCATTACTGCCCCATATGTCAGAGTAGGACTGTGCTTTACACGATTTTCAGTGGCTATTATGTTCAGAAATGGAGCACCAGGCCTTTTTTTCTTTCATGGTTTGAGTTGTTTTGTTGTTTGTTTTTTTTAATTTAAAAAAAATTTTAAAAAGTATAATTTCTGGTGAGTTCTGGTGGCCTAGTGGCAAGAAACTACTGCAATCCCAGAGGTGTGTGGTTCAAATCCACCAAATGCTCTGCTGGAGAAGGAGGGACAATCTCCTCCTGTACCAGTCAGATCTGATTTGACGGTACACACACACACACACACACACACACACACAATAATTTTTTTAAGAAAAGTATAAATCCCTTTTTCTTTTCAGATGAGTTTTTTCAGCCTTTAAGGAATCAAATCCTTACATGGGCTTTTGGGTCATTGGACAGCACCTGCAGGTGTAAATCTGGGTCGAGGTGTTCGGTCCTTCCTGGCTTCATGAGACCGTTTCTTCACCACCTTGTTGTGAATGGCACAACCCACACAACAGTGCAGTTTCACACAGAGCTTTGGAATAATATGTGCATCAGAGACACTCGCTTCGGGAATATCCCTGGTGGTAGCTGCCTCTACTGTATTTTGAATCATGAACTTCTGAATTGCCCTGTCTCTGGGCACACTGCGGGCACAGTTTGTGCAGAGAATAGTCTGCTCCTGTCCTCGGCCCCTGTTGGCACGACCTTAGTTTCTCCTTTTCTTTGTCGTCTTAGAAGTGAGGACCCGAGAGATAAACCAGGCCTTTTTTTCTGAGGCACCTCTGGGTGGACTCAAACTGCTAATCTTCCATTTAGCAGGCAAGTGAGTTAACTGTACTACCTAGGGGCTCTTATTAGAGCTAATATTCCATTTATATTACACAAACCCTGATATGAAGATAAGAGCACAGATGGAAATGTTGACAGCTGAATAATGTGATAAACATAACTAATGTCACTAAATTACACATGTAAAACATGTTGAGATGACAACTCTTTCATTATATACACACTCAGCACTGTAAAAGAGGTGGTGAAAATAAAGGGGTGGGTAGGTGAGTGTTCACTGTACAATTCCTCTAAGTGTTCAAATGTTTGGCAATTTGAGTTTTTAAAACTGTGGGTAAAAAAAGGATAGCAAAGCCTACATAATGGAGAGCAAAGTTATTGATTTCCATAAATCAGTGCAACTATCAAAAAAAAAAGGTGAAAATAATTCATAACAAAAGCTGTACTTCAATGCGTAGATGCTCAGCACATGCACTGGAACACAAAGTCAAACACAGCATAGAAGCCTCACATACATACTGTCACGTGTGTGCTGGCAAATTAAAAGCATGTCACTTCCTCAGACAATGAAGAATTCTTGTCAGAATTTTGGACATAACAACATAATGTTTTCTCACCATGTTCATGGTCATTACATTCCAAGGAAATTCATGTTAGGTGCCTCAAAACCAAAATCTATGCCATCAAGTTGATTCTGACATATAGTGATCCTGTAGGTTGGAGGAGAACTCCAGAAGATTCCCAAGGCAGTAGGTCTTTATGGAAGCAGCCGGCTGTATCTTTTTCGTATGGATAGCAGGAGTGGCATCCACTTCCAAAATGGCTTGCTTCCGGAAACTCTGTGTGTTCAGGTCTTTCGTTCATAGGGTCGCTATGAGTTGTCTATGACTTGACGGCACTTAACAACAACATGGCTAGCTCGTGGGTTCAGACAGTCCTTCTTTTGGTTAGCAGCCCTAACCACTGTGCCACCAGAACTCCTTGGACTTATTTAGGGAGAAGCTGTATTCCGAAATAAAGACCATTCCAAGGGAGTTGAGGACAATTATGACAACATGGGGAGAAAACTACAGAAATCGTGCATTCCCTCTGACCATAAGATCAATGAGCCCCTCAGGAGTTAGGCAGAAAGAGTTTTCTTCTACAGACACAAAATTCAACAATACTAAAAGAAACCAGATTTGGAGAAGTGGGATGAGAGGGGAAGGTGACCAAATAGTTGTTGAGGGAAGGCTGGGCACTGCAGTGGGTCCATTCTCCGAGTGGGGCCCGTCAGGATGGGCGCTATGGGCTCTGAGGAGGGACCAAAGTTCAGGACTTGGCGGAAGGAGAGAAGCTTCATCACAGTTTGACTAACAAGCCCTTTGTTCTGATTGGTCAGTGGGGGCAAGCATCTCAATCATTTATGAGACAACGAATGGGGCTGTGGAGGGACTGTGTCTGGCTTTGTCACAGGTAAACAAGGGGACTTCCAGGAGTCTTGTCTATGTGGGAAGAGTGGTTCTTTTCAGTAAACTGTTATCCTGAACATTAAGAATGAAGGGATCTGTTTTCCAGGATCAGAGGATTCAGGTAAAATTCAACACTGTCATATTGTGCATTGAAACTGTGTACCCCCTCCCCAATCATTACCTGTTTATATGTAAGAGAGCATGAAGATCTAGATACAGGTCATTAGCAAGTTTTTCATACGGAGCCCAGAAATGTTGACTGAGTTGGTTCTTTGCAAGTACTTAAGTTTAAGGAACCTGGCATACTGGGATCCCACCCAATAAAGGCCAAGAGTGTCTTTAGTCTGTAAGAAAACAAAAACCAGGGGAGCTCTGGTGGTCTAGTGGCAAGAAGCTGCACTGCAATCCCAGAAATAATGCGGTTCAAATCCACCAGATGCTTTGCCGGAGAAGGGGGTGCAATCTCCTCCTGTACCAGTCAGATCTGATTTGACGGTACACACACAAAAAATAATAAAATAAAATAAAAAAAAAAACAAAAACCTTTCCTGTAGAAGCCAGGACCCTCTCTTACCGTGGGAATTTTGGAGACTTTCTCATTTAAACAATGGACATAAATGAGACATCACCACCAGGGAGGAGAGGCAGAAGCGGGGGTGGGCATGGGGGTGTGCTACCAGTACCAGTGATGTCGACTCTGACTCATAGTGACCCCATGTGCCCCATAGGATGTTCAGTGCTGGGTTTTTCTGAAGCAGACTTCAGGCCTTTCTTCTAAAGTACCTGTGAGAGGACTGATGTGGTCATCCTTCCGGTTAGTGGCTAGGTTGTTAACCAAATGCACCACCCACAGTGGAACTACAAGGCTCTTCTGATAAAAGATTATTTATTGGAATCTCCACTCACTGCCTTTGTTAGCTGATTTCTTCATTATCACCAGCTTCTAAGACCCGTTTGATCCGGTGCCTCACAGAGCTTCAGGTCTCTCACAGCAGGGTAGGCCCACAGAACAGCTCGTCACTAGCTTTGCATTTGGAGCTGTGAATCCTTCAGTAGAATCAGTTCTCTCCATTGGGGATATGGTGATAGTTGTATGTGGTTTCCTCCCTCATATTTCACATTCTGAGGACGTTGGGGTTCAAGGTTAAGAGAACATAATGCATGAGAACTAGACCTTGCCTTCAGGTTTTCAAACCTGAGTCCTAGTTTTACATCTGAGTAAGAACAGCAACCCTTCAGGAGATTGGACTATATACAGCAGTGGTTCTCCAAGCATGTATGTACATCAGACAGCAGCCCGAGGTGCTTGCTGGAAATGAAAATGTGGAGCCCCATCTCAGACCTAGTGCTGTTATGTGTTGTCAACTCAGAACTGACTCATACCTGACCCTCCGGTGGGTTTTCAGAGGCTGTAAATCACATTAGGGTGACTGTTCTCACTCCTGCAGAGTTGCTGGTGGACTTGAAGCTCGTGCCTATGGGCTGCCAGTGTATTCCCTTACCCACTAGGCCAGCAGAGCTCCCAAATTCAGAGCTACTGACTCAAACTCAAGGATTAGAGGCGGATTCCAACATTCTGTTTTACTGAACAAGATTCCAGATGATACAGAAGCATCAGGGTGATGCTTGGCTGCTAATATACAAGTTCTCTAACCTGTATGTTCTCGTCCATTCTGAGGCCTGAAGAAAGACTTGGTGATCCACTTGAGAAAAATCAGCCATTGAAAACTCTACGGAGCAGAGTTCCATGGTTGTAGAGGTCAATATGAGTCAAAATGAACTCAACAGCAGCTGGTTTCCAGGTGATTCTGATGCAGAGTGAAGGTGGTACACCCTGCTGTGGTGTAGGTGCACCACAGGTTAAAACCCGTGAGTCCAAAGCCCAGTACGTAACCCTGACAAGTTCTTCTATTCCTAAACTAGTGGTCTCTGCCCTAGCTATGCATTAGAGGCACCTCGGGGAGGTAAGACTCTCAATGCCTGGGCCCCACCTCAGGTCAGTGAAACAGGGAGGAACCCAGCCATCTGTTTTACATCTCTCTGGGGGAACACAGTAAGAACTAAGAACTTCTACCGTAAACCTGGGTGTTCTCCTCCGTCATGTGAGGGTAATGTCCCTCCTCTTACTGTGTTGACTGAAAAAGGGTTTTCTAGATGTTTGTGGTCAGTTAGGCCTAAAGGCAAGTAATGTGGTGCTTCAGGAAAAATTAGTGGTTCCTTCTCTGTTCCCCTGCCTGGTACCCCCTCAGTTTCTGTAGGGCTCCCAGAACTGAGATTACATGTGGTATAACTTTCCGTGGATCTCCTCAGTTATGACACATTTCGCTTCAGTCTTCATTTAATGGTGCTGAATTCTGAGCCAGGACCCCAAGATTTCTGAGTGCTCCCAATTCCTTAATACTAGCCCTGGAACCAGTAATGCATCATCTTAATGTTCATTTCAATCCAATAGGAGACTGACATGGTTCAGAATTTTATTAGTGTTTTTATTATTGCATAGAATCTGTAGACTTTGAATACTATTTTGGTCACTCCGTTCTAAAACTAGCCTGTAGGGTGATAGTAAACACTCTTGGGATATAAGCTACTGGAATTCCTGATGTACTCCATGGCTAAACCAGTGTCCTAGTCCTGAAGCCTAGTAGCAGATAGTGTGTATCCCACAGGAGACAAAGGCAAAGCATCAAATGCCAAGGTCAAGAAAGAAAGATGAGCTCTTGGTGCCATAGAAGGCTTTCTTATTTACTCTATGCTTGCTGAGTTCATGAAATTCACTAATTTGACTAACATTGTTAGAGAACTTTTGTGGAATTAGAAGAGCAGAGGGAAATTACTCAGATCCTAATCTCAGAAAACCCTAGTCAGGCAGAGAAGTGCTATTCATAAGCAACTGGGTTGCTGACAGTCCATGTAAACTAAATTTCTACATGAGCAAGATTATATGATGTCAAGAGGAAGGAGAATGTGCTTAGCCTGGGATGGTCAGAGGAAGCCATAGAGCTGGAAGACCCTCAAAATTATTGTCCTGAGATAACCTTAAGACTTAAACCAAAAATATTGTTGACATCTTATTAAAACCAAGCAATCATTTAGCTAAACTGGTAAAGAGGAACTACCGTTAGCATTGTGCTCTTTAAGAACAGTCTATATGGGAGCAAACTGACAAGAGCAACTTGAAAGTTAAGAACCTTAGGTGCAAAAAAAAAAAAAATTACTTCTGAGAAATAAGACTCTGAATCAAAGAAATTAGCAACTTTATCATAAAAATGTCCTTAAGCATGTTAAATGCAATAATAAATCAATCATAAAAGAACAAATAAAAAAAATTTTTAAAAAAAAGAACCTTAGGTGCATTGAGGTGAGTGGTGGGAAAAGCTATTCAGAAAAAGAGGTCAAGAATAGTTGCACAACTCTTAAGAATGTAATCTGTGTCCCTGAATGGTACATATAGAGACTGCTGAATCAATGTACATGTTGCTGTGTCTATTCACAGTAACAACTAATAAATTCTCAAAATGACTTTTTTTTCCTTTCTTTTTTTTAATAAGTTTAATGAGCATTTACAGAATTTTGGATTTCCATTCATTCATTGCTGCACTTCTCTCCCCGCCCATCAGGGAAGGAGTGTTTCTTTTACTTTTGAAAGAGAGGAGCGAACTGGCGGGGGTGGGGGGGGATGGACTTTTTTTTTTAAGGTGACATTATATCTGGTCTCTCAGATATAAACAAACTCTCAGCTCTCAAATAAAATGTTCCCTTCTACTCGAAGGCCTTCTTGACCACACCATCCCAATCCTTGTCCCCTGCTCTATTTTACTTCAGTAACACCTAGCACAACAACAACAACTCTTAGCTTCGACAGAGTCGGCCTCGCTCATAACAACTCTATACACAACAGATTGAAATGCTATCTAGTTCTGTGATCAGTGGCAAACTGAACCATATTTATGGTGAAAATGAAATCATACACCATTTCGACCTTTTCCACATGTATAACACAGTGACACTGATTTTATACTCGTCCAAACATTCTCACATCTTCCTTCACATTGTCCCCTGAGCTTTAAACTCACTATTCCCCTAAACTTTTCAACCAACCTTTTAAGTTGCTTTATTTTAATTCTGTAAATTCTCAGATCAGGCATAATTATTAAAGTAAACATCTTTTGGTTCAAAGATTATGTCAGGGGATTGTTTGGTTTTCAAGTTTAAAGATTGTTTCAGGAAAAGAATTTTTTGAGGGTTCATTGAACCTCAGTGGCTCTAGAAATTCTAGGTTCTGATAAGGAACCCTTTGATCAGGATTTTGCTGGTGATCCATAGTATTTTCATTGATTGATTTTCAGTAGTAGCGTGTCACACCTTAATTCCTGGTTTGCCTTAATCATGGAGCCAGGCTTGGCATCACGGCAACAAGCTGGCCTTCAGTTGACATTGACTGTTCAAGAAGCATTGGCTAGAAATGGAACTCACAAGTGGACTTGCCACATAAGAGCAAGAATTCTACCACTGAGCCACCACTGGCTTTGCCTGGATTTATCACTATTCTGATTTTATATTTTATCTATTTTTTTTGTTATTGGTAAATAATGCTGAAAATGTAAGTTCTGTGAGAACAGAAATTTCATCTGTGTGTCCATCCATAAACATGGCACCTGGACCAGTACTTGGCATACAACAGCCTCTCAATAAGTTGAATAAATACAGGATGAACAGATGGAGAAATCCTTTCCTTTCTTAGGGCATCACAGGAATCCGTTTTGCTGGAGGAGAGAAATGCTACATCAAAGCGCAGGTGAAGGCTCGCATTGCCGAGGTGGACCCTGTGGCCAAGCAGAGCATCTCCTCTGAACTGGTAAGTGCCCACAAGCCAGAGCACATGAAACACTTGGCTTTAGAAGAAATGGTTTGAGGCATGACCCTATTAGTGCCTAGCTCCTGGCTAGGTATGTATCTGTAACAGACCCTGTATTTCTTCTCTGCCAAAGGAATGCAAACTGTTTTTGTCAGTGGTGCCATTAATGACTTGTTACTTTGACTCCACGTTACAGAGCAGAACTTCCCCATTAGGCTGTCTTGCTATCAGGTATAGGGAAGCAATTGCCAGGGCTTGATCCTGTGGAGCTGCTGTGAGTTGGAAATGAGTTAGAAATGCCAACCTTTGTAGTTACTAGCCTAGTGCTTCACTGTTTGTACTACTACAGCTCCTGATGTTTGTCCTTTCAATGCTCTTTTTTATTCTTCCCTAAAATATTCTCCTTGTCTTTTGTTTTGTGTTTTAGTATTTTGTAAAACCATATTTTAAAATAAAGAGGCATGGTCCTCACACAGCCCTTGTTAGTTTAATACTTGAGAAGTTTCTAATCAGTGATACAGACAAACAGAAAGGATTCCTTCCTTCTAGACTGGGTCCTACTCAGTGTGAGAATTCCTACTGCACCACCCAACCAGTGCTAGCCGTCGCTCACTCCCTGCCAGCCTGTCCATGGGATAGTTGGAATGGTCTTGTTCTGCACTGCAATGGCTGCTGAAATGGCTCCCCCTACAGGGTCTCCCCATTAGTTCAAGCTCAGCTCAACAGTGAGAATACTCAGGTAATCTCCAATTTCAGACTTACTACATTGACTATGCAAAGGAGTTTGACTGTGTGGATCACAACAAACTGTGGCTGACTCTAAGAAGAATGGGAATCCCAGAACATTTGGTTATACTTATGTGAAACCTATACCTGGACCAGGAGGCAGTCTTCAGAATGGAGCAAGAAAAAACTTCATGGTTCAAAATTGGGAAGGGTGTATGTCAGGGATGTATTTCTGTCTCCATACCTTTTCTATCTATATGCAAAACAGTTCATCCAAGAGGCTGGACTGTATGAGGAAGAATGTAGGATCAGGATTGGAAGAGGATTCATCATCAACCTGCGTTATGCAGATGACACTCCTGCTTGCTGAAAGTGAGGGGGACCTGGGGTGCTTGCTGCAGAAGATCAAGGACTGCAGCCTTCAATATGGGTTGAAGCTCAACATCAAGAAAACAAAGATTCTCACCACTGGGCCAACTGGCAGCATCATTATGGATGGTGAAGAGATTGAGATTGTTAATAGTTTTAGTTTGCTTGGCTCCACAATCAATACTCTTGGTATCAGCAGCCAGGAAATCAAGAGACAAATTGCATTGGGAAAGTCAGCTGTCAGGGACCTCTCCAGAGTACTGAAGAGCAACAACATCAGGCTGGAGACTAAAGTGTACCTGATCCAGGCTATAGTCTTCGCAATTGCTTGTTATGCATCAGAGAGCTGGATAATGACTAGGGATGATAGAAGGAGAATTAATGCCTGTGAGTTGTAGTGCTGGATAAGAGTGTTGAATATACCAAGGACCTCTAAGAGAACAAACAAGTTCACCCTAAAGAGTGTGAAACCAGGCTGTTCCTTGGAGGCAAGGATTCTGAAGCTTTGTCTGTCATACTTTGGACATGTTCCAAGGAGGGACCAGTCCTTGGCGGGACAGTGAGGTTGGCACAGGATAGAGCAGCACTTAGGGCTTTTGTACATAGGGTCGCTATGAGTTGCATGTGATTTGATGGCACATAACAACAAAAACATGGTTCCACAGTCAAACGCCTTTACATAGTCAATGTAACACAGATAGACATTCCTCTGGTATTCCCTGCCTTCAGCCAAGATCCATCTTAACATTAGCTACAATATCCCTAAACCCAGCCTTCACTTCTGGCAATTCTCTGTTGATGCGCTGTTTCAGTAGTTTTTGGATAATAATCTTCAGCAAAATCTTACTTGCATGTGATATTGTTATTGTCTGATAATTTCTACACTCTGTTGGGTAACCTTTCTTTGGAATGTGAACAAATTTAGCTCTCTTCCAGTCAGTTGGCTAGCTGGCTGTCCTCCAGATTTCTTGGCACAACCTGGTGAACACATCTAGGCAGCATCTTTCTGTTAAAATATATCACTTGGTGTATCATCAATTCCTGGGGCCTTGATTCTTGCCAATTCTTTCAGAGCAGCTTGAACTTCTTCCTTCATCACCACAGGCTCTTGCATATAGGTTGTTTCATGAAATTCTTGTGTGCACCAATTCCTTTTGGCGCCATGACTCTGCATACTCCATCTTCTTTTAATACTTTCTGGTAATTTAATATTCTGTCCAAAGCATCCTTAAGTATAGCAACTAGAGGCTTGAATTTGTTCTTCAGTTCCTTGAGCCTGAGAAATGCTGAGCAAGTTCACCCCCTTTGATTTTCTGACTCCAGCTCTTTGCACATTTTGTTATAATACTTTGTCTTCCTGCGCTGCCCTTCAGCTCCTTAATATCTTGATTTCTTCCCTTTGCTTTGGCTTCTTAGCGCTCAAAAGCAATGCATAGAGTCGCCTCTGACTTCCATTTTGGTCTTTCTTCCTCCTCTGACTTTGTAATGACCATTTGCACTCTTCCTGGTTGATACCCTTGATATCCTCCCACAGCTCATCTGGTCTTCGCTCATTAGTGTTCAAGTCTTCAAACCTGTTCCTGAGATGGTTTTGAAACTCAGGTGAGACAGACTAAAGGTTATATTTTGTTTCCCGTGGATTTGATTTAGTTTTACTTAGCTTCAGCTTAGTTGATGGTCTCTTTCACAATCAGCACCTGGCCTAGTTTTACAGCTGATATTAAGCTTCTCCAGAGGGTTTTTTCCACAGATGTAATCAATCTGATTCTTATGAATACCACCAGGTGAAATCCATGCTAAGAGAATGAACAGGTTTGTCTTACAGAGGGTTAAACCAGGCTACTCCTTAGAGGCAAGGATTCTGGAGTTTCATCTGACATACTTTGCATATGTTGCAAAAAGAATATCATGCTTGGAAGGGTTCAGGAGCAGCGCAGGAGAGGAAGACCCTCAATGAGATGGACTGATTCAGTGGCTGGGGTAATTGGGGTAGGTGTGTCGGAAACAATAAGATTGGCACAGGATAGAGAGCAGGGTTTAGGGTCGCTGTGGGTCGCAGGTGACTCAACAGCACATAATAACAGCATGATTTCAGTCTGATGTCTGTCCTAAGTCGGATAGTCTTTTGCTTGCTTGTTTTCATAGACTGCCATGCGGCAGTGTTTTGAACAGTAAATCAAAACAAACATTAGCAAATGAACATCTGAAAATGGCAACGTCAGCAAATTACACATTGCAATTTTGTCTTAACTCCAATATGTTTTAAGTCGGGGACTTTTTTCCCCATGTATCAGATCTCTGAGGTCGGTTTTTGTTGGTTGATTTTGGTTCGAACATAATTCTTCTCTTTATTATTAGTAATTTCCTTTTAAATTGATTTTTTTTTTCAAACATCCACTTTAAGAATTGTACCCAGTTCCAAAGACACATTTTGTCAGGGTATGGTAGAAAGAACATGGACATTGGAATAGACGAATATGGGTGCAGGTTCCAGCTCTGACACTTGCTGTGAGTGTGGCTTCGACTTCTGAGCCTCAGTTCTGTTATCTGTAAACTGAGGGTACACTTTCTGTCCTTATGGCCCAGACCTACTAAGGATGGGCATACAATGGTTTCTATCATACTTTTGTTATGACCACTTTTTTTTTAAGGCTGAATAGCATTTAATTTTTTTTCATTGCAAACACAATTTTTTAATTTATTATTCATTTCAATGAAAATTTAGAGAGACTTTAGGTTTCCATTCATTCATTGTTGCACTTTTCTCCCCTCCCAACCCTCCCCCATAGTACACTACCCTCTTGGAAAAGTAAAAGAAAAATTCTTTCATTGTTTTACAAACCCTCCCCCAAGTCCATGCCACCATGCAACCTTCGCTCTGGACTCCTGTCATGACAAAAATACCTAATCACATATCCGTTTTAAACAGTTTTCTCCCTCATCTGTTTCAATGCAGTATACATTATTGAACCCATCTTTCTCAGCCTCCCCCCAACCCCAAGGTCAGTCCTGTTTTGCAACAGTGGCACCATGCAATATTTGTCCTTTTGTGACTGAGATACTTCACTCAGCATAATGTCCTCCAGGGTTGCCCAGTTTGAATAAGATTTCATGAGTTCCTTGTTTTTCAATGCAGTGTAGTATTCTATTGTGTGAATATACCACAGCTTCTCTATCCATTCGTTTGTTGATGGGCACTTAGGTTGTTTCCAACCCCTTGCTACTGTGAACAAAGCCACAATAAAACATGGGTGCGCATATATCTGCTTGGATGTCATTGTGGTCTCCTCGGGGTATATTCCCAGTAGTGGAATTGCTGGGTCAAACCGTTATCTCTACTTGCAACTTTTTGAGAAAGCGCCACACCATTTTCCACAGGTGTTGCACTATTTTACACTCCCACCAACAGTGAATAAGGGTTCCAGTTTCTCCACAACCTGGCTAGCATTTGTTGCTTACTGTTCTGTTAAATTTTGCTATTCTGACTGGGGTGAGATGATACCTCATAGTTGTTTTAATTTGTATCTCTCTTAGAGCTAGGGATTTTGGACATTTCTTCATGTGCTTGTTGGCCATCTGAATGTCTTCTTTGGTGATGTGTCTGTTCATATCCTGTACCCATTTTTCGATTGGATTATTTACCTTTATCTTGTTGTGGTGCGTAAGTATTTTATAAATTCTGGATATAAGTCCCTTTTCTGATATGTCATTACCAAATACTTTTTCCCAGTCTATGGCTTCCCTTTTTACCTTGTTGGGGAAGTTTTTGGATGTGCATTGGGATTTGAGTCTTAGAAGATCCCATTCATCTATTTTATCTTCTCCTGGTTGAAGGGTTATGACCACTTTTGAGCCTTCAGAAATCAGCTTCCTTGAAGCAAAAGAGGAAAAAACATGAGTAAACAAACTTGAGTGTTTGCTACCGTAGAAACAGGACCCAGGCTCCTTACTTTTTACTTTAGTTCTTCTAAAATAGAGTTTGTTGTTGTGTGTACCATAGAGTCGGAACCGACCCATAGCTGACCCGCTGGCGGGTTTTCAGAGGCAGTTAATCACACAGGAGGAGATTGCCCATCCTTCTGCCGCAGAGCAGGTCGTCTCGAACCACGTGCCTTCGAGATTACAGTGCAGCTTCTTGCCACTAGGCCACACCAGAGGAAGTATATCATAACTTGACCCAACCATAATTCTAAAAATGTTTTATTCTGACACATTAAGTATGTTCCTTTTTCACTATTTCAAATAATACTGAGCTTAATAGGCTTCTATTGAAATTTTCTTCTTCTGTGTCTAATTCCTTCTGTAGGACTCAGTAGTAAACTGCTATTATGTGTGTTAGATGTTTATGCTGTGTATGATGGACCCTCTGGTGGGAAAAAACCAAATTCAGACAGCATATGTGTGTGAATTAGAAACACATTCGGCTGTGAAGAGCAGAAAACTCATCTTCAGATGCTGTTGTTATGTGTCAATTGAATCCGAACCAATTTATAGCAGACCCTCCGGTAAGTTTTCAGAGGCAGTAAATTGCATGGGAGGATATTACTCATCTTTCTCCTGAGGAGTATCTTGTAGATACGAATTGCACACCTTTGGGTTGTCAGTGCAGCATCTTAACCATGAGGCCAACAGCCCTAGTTACACAAATAAGGGTCTGTTTTTCTCCACCATAAGCAATGTGGAGGGAGCCGCATCAGGCCAGCTTCTCGGATTTTCTTGGCCTTTCCTTCCAGTGCAAAATAGAAACCGTATGTTCAAGTAAGGACATTTGAGAGATGCTGAACAGTGCCAGCCCATCCATTCCCCTTAAATCAAGAAGAGCAGAAGACTCCCAGGTCTCCCAACAGACTTCAGTCTGGGTCTCTTTGACTAGAGCCTGTCATCCAGACACCCTGAGAGGGTCTGAGAAGGTAAGCGTCTCTCCTGAGGCTGGGCATTCTACTTCCTCAACAGACTCAAGATTGTGTTGCCAGAAGGAGGCAGGAAATGGGTGGGCAACTGCAAGTTTGTACCACAAGATTTAGTTAACATTCCTAGCTTGTCCCCGGCAGTGCACATGTACGCATTATCCCAACCCCTCCACTTCACCCACACCCTTTAGATTATGATGGGGTTGATTTATGTACCACTTGTTCTTATAAATTTTTCATCAGTTTTGTAGAACTTTAAAACACTACTATACCTAAAGAACATTCCTTTCCTGAATGGAGCCATTTAATTTGAGGTAAATAACTGGATTACCAGAGTTGTAACTTCCTCCGCCTGAGGGACAAAGCATAAATGAAGTGCTACTTTTAGCTAAAAATAAGAAGAAAACATTTTAATTTCTCCAACCTATTGCAAACTAATACACACATGAAAGGAACAACCTGGCAAAATAAATTTGTCTCCTGGGTTAGCAAACCATTCCCAGCAATCTTGCTGTAGAAGAAAAATCCAAGGTTTAGCTTTGAAATCTCTGGGGTGTGCTTGATGCAAGGAACATCTGAAATATTGTTTTGTTAGAGCTGGGAAATGTAGAAATGGTTTATGTTAAATAACACTTTGAACTAAGACATTAAAAGGACCAATTGCTGGCTTTTTCCATTGTTGCTCGGATGCGGCAGAACAAAACCCCAAAGGATTTTCAACTTCAAATGAAGGAATCCTCTATCCTTTATGAGATTCCAGGGTCTACTCAACTGCTTTTCCTCAAAAATATCTTTGATCAAAAACATCAGATTAACCGAAATCTCAAAGTTGGTATCTAGTAATTTTCACTTCAACTCAGAACACACTTCTATTAACACATTAGAGGTAAAGGCAGGGCAGGCGGCGTGAGGAGGGATGGTGAACACATCGTGGGGAGAATTACAGAGATGATTAGATCTTGAAAGTATGAGGGCACAAAAGAGAGAATTCTGTAAAGCAGAATAATCTCATAGCAACACCTGACTCTTAATATGCAGCATACAGCACATGGTCCTCTGCTCATTGTGTTCTGTTTCTCCTTATAGGAAGGCAAGATCATGCCAGTTAAATTTGAAGAAAATTCTCTCATCTGGGTGGCAGTGGACCAGCCTGTAAAGGACAACAGTTTCTTGAGCTCTAAAGTCTTAGAGCTCTGTGGAGACCTTCCTATCTTCTGGCTTAAACCCACATACCCAAAAGGTAATATTTCAATAGCATCTCCTGTTGCTGCCTTCACATGCACTGGGGGTCTGGTGAATTCTCACCTTCTGTGAGGGGGACCTGTGTTTAAGTGCAGCCACCATCCACCTGCCTGTGGAGGCTGGTGTGTTGGTATGATGTGTCCTAACTCCTACACATGTATTATTTGAATTTGCCATGAGCTTCCAAACTCAGAAAGACTAGGAAGCAAGGCCTGGAGAGCGACTGCTGAAACTCAGCCCATAAAAATCCTGTGGAGCACTGTGAAAACAGTGATAAGGATGAAAAAGACTGGGCAGCATCTCCAGTTGAACCTGAGGACACTATGAGTCAGAGGCCAAATCCATGCAGCTGACAGCAGGGCTGCCCCACGTGCCCCACTGTATGGAGCTCCTGCGAGCCCCCCACACAGCACTCACAAGTCTGAGCACGCAGCTCAGATGACAAATCAGGGTGCCCACTGCAGTGTCTCCTAATTAGCTTGGCAGATAAAAGAGAAGGGAAACGACAGCACTTGGATGTTTTGCAGACAGGAACACACAGCAGGGTTAACAGGAGGTAGAGCAGGGAGACAGAGCACCCTGCAAACACTGGAGGTTTTTATTTATGACTCTCCCCCTTCATTCTGCTCTGTCCCTTAATCTCAGTTGTTTGTACCTTCCAATTTTACTTCTTTTTTATTCCAAAGGAGGAATAAAATATTTGGTCCCATAGAACCCAGGAACCAAGAAGCTGTCATGTGGCTGGATCTTTATTATACTCAAATTTAGAATTATGGGACAGCCAAAAGCTGCGGTGGGGATAGGCTGAGATTCCTCAAGTTCAAGGTTTGAGGGTTAGTTTGTAAGTATGAGTGAGAATAAAAGGTCCCTGGGATTTGAGGCTTGGCCGGAGCAGGTCTTTGAGTGACTTCAAGGTGGTCAAGGGCAGGTGAGCCCAGCGGGGTTTGCTCTGTCCCCAGATAGGCTCTAACTCTGCCAGTCACCACATTGGGCCCCCAAAGGCCTACTTCCTAGCTCTGGTTCCAGGCTAGGGGAAGGGGCCTTTCCCCTCACACAGCTGAGACAGGCTGCATTTTCAGAAAGATTTTATTAAATACTAAGAGAGCAGCTGCATGGAGGTAAAGAAAACAGAGGCACTGAAACCAGCAGACTCAGAAAAGTTCAGCTTCCTGATTTGCCCATGGCCAGCGTAGTGCTGCCACTCACAAGTGCTACTGTGTTCCAAGGGAGCTCCGGTGGCTTATGTAGTAAGGAACTATCAACTATCACTATCAACACAAAGGAACGTGGTTCGAACCCACCAGCTGCTCTGCAGGAAAAAGATTGGCAGTCAACTCTCGTGTGATTTACTGCTTCTGAAAACCCACGGGAGGGTCAGTTCTGACTCTGCGATACACAACAACATTGTGTTCCAGTTCCAAGGACAGGATAAGCCTGTTACCCTAGCCCAGGTGAAACAAACAGGATTTCATGTATAAGCCACTGGCAGTGGCCGCCTAAACCCTGAGTTTAGGATTCTAGGGCCTGTGCCAGCTCAGTAGGAAAGAAAGCCAAGATCACCCATCCTCAGGGTCTGGCACAACCCCTGCAATGCTGTCTCAGCTCGTCCAGCCAGCAAGCCCTAGATTATATGTTGGCATGCTAACTGAAAGGCTGGAAGTTCGAATCTACCAGCTTCTCCATGGGTGAGCGATGTGGCAGTCTCCCTCTGTAAAGATTGACAGCTTTGGCTACCTTAAAGGGCAGCTCTCCTCGCTCCAACAGAGTCACGATGAGTCCAAATCAAATAGACAGCAGTAAGTTTCTTCTAGTCAAAGACAAGAGACTCAACTGTGGTCCTATGGAGAATTGTCCCTAAATTCTTTCTATGTGACAAGCATCTTATATAGAGAGCTCGCTCACTCAGCAAACCTTTATCACATCACAGGAGCTCTGCTGGCCTGCTTAGTAAGGAGTTGTGCTTCCAACCCCAAGTTCAAATCCTCCAGCTGCTCCTTAGAAGAAAGATGGGAAATGTTCCCTCTGACTTACAGCCTCTGCAAACCTGCAGGAGTCAGCTATGACTTGGTTTCAACTTGATGGCAGTGAGTTGAGTTTGTTGATTATGTGTGTGCCTTACAGCTGTTCTAGGCACTTGAGGTGCATAAGTGAATAAGACAAGCTCCCAAGTCCACTTTTGGGTACAGCCTCCATTACCAGGGGGTCCTTAAGCCTGCCAAGTTATCAGTCACATGGCTACTGTGAATGGCAGGCAGGCACAAGCAGAAGGGAAGAGTGAGAACTGATTGATGTCCACTGAGCCCAGACTGTGTGCCAGGCACTGCTAGAGCTTATACATCTTGTCCTCATTTAATCATCACAGCTGCCAAGGTACAACTTATAATCTGTTTTCCATGAAGGAACTAAGGTTCCCGGAGATTTGAGTAATTTGTCTGAGGCCATTCAGCTACTTAAAAGAAGGAGAAATGGAAACTGAATCCAGGTTGTGTGATGCTACTACCCTATGTCTAAAACTAAGAAGCTGTCTGAGGGGGCAATCAGTGACTTTACAGCACATCTAATAGCAAAGAAGGGAGCCCTAGGGGCCTAATAAAGGAGTTGCACTGCCAACCCAAAGGCAGGCAGTTCTAATCCACCAGCTACACCAACAGAGGGAGAAAGAAAAGCAGACTCCTCCTGTGCAAGTTACAGCCTCTGAAAACCCACAGAGGGTCAGCTGTGAGTTGGTTCCAATAGGAATGAGTTAAATAATAAGGAGCTTTAGTGGTGGGATGGTTAGGTGATTGGTTACTAACTTGGAAGCCAGCAGTTCAAACCCATCAGCAGCCACTCTATGGGAGAAAGATGGGGCAGGCTGCTTCTAGAAAGATTGCAGCCTTGAAATGCCTCCTGCACAGTTCTCCTCTGTCCTGAGTTGGAGTCACTCAGCGGCAATGAGTTTGGGTTTTTCTGGTTTTGTTTTCTAATAAAGGACAAAGTATGGTGTAATCATCACTTACATTTGAGTGCTTATTACATGCTAACATTGTGTAAGTCTTCAGTGATTCTCATTAACATTATTGCTACCATTATTCCAGCCCACAGCTGATTAATGAAATCAAAATGGCCAATCATCTTACACTTAATTGTTAACGAAATAAAAAATACCCAGTTTACACCTAACTTTCAAGTAAATCAAAACAACTTACCCTCCAGATCCAATTGTTCCAAGCTGGAGACTCTGAGGCAGGACAAAACTGAGCTTTAAATACAAAGGCCTGCCCACATGATCCTGATTGCTTAAATAACAAGCTTCCAGCCCACAGCTGATTGTTAACAAAATCAAAAAGGCCAGTCATTTTATGCTTTATTGTTAACAAAATAAAAGCAACTAGATCAGTACATAGATAGGGAACTTCCAGAAGTTCAGGCAGAACGAAGGATATCATTGCTGATATCAGATGGGTCCTGGCTGAAAATAAGGAATACCAGAAGAATGTCTATTTGTGCTTTATTAACTATGCAAAGGCATTTGACTGTGTGGATCATAACAAGTTATGGCTGACATTGAGAAGAATGGGAATCCCAGAACACTTAGCTGTGCTCATGCGGAACCTATACCTGGACCGAGAAGCTATTGTGTGAACAGAGCAGGGGAACACGTCGTGGTTTAAAATTGAGACAGGAATGCATCAGGGTTGTATTCTCTCTCCATCCCTATCCAGTCTGTGTGCTGGGAAAATTATGTGAAGCTGGACTCTATAAAGAGGAATGTGGCATCAGGATTGGAGGGAAACTCATCAATAACCTGAGTTATGCAGATGACACAACATTGCTTGCTGGAAGTGGGGAAGACTTGAGCACTTATTGCAAAAGATCAAGGAATGCAACCTTTAGTATGGATTGCATCTCAATGTCAAGAAAACAAAGATTCTTACCACTAGACCAAAAGGCAATGTCATGATGGATGGAGAGGAGATTGAAACTCTCAACAACTTCATCGTGCTTAGATCCACAATTAACACCCTTGGTACCAGCAGTCAGGAAATAAGGAGCTGCATTGCACTGGGAAAAATTTGCAGTTAGGGACCTCTCCAAATTATTGAGGAGTAATGATGTCACTTTAAGGACTAAGGTGTGTCTGATTCAGGCTATCGTCTTTCTGATCACTTCCTGTGCATCTGAGAGCTGGACAAGGAATAAGGATGACAAAAAAGAATTGACACTTTTGAGCCATGGTGTTGGAGAAGAGTACTGAACTTCTCATTGATGGCCAAGAGAACAAACAGATATGTCTTGGAGAAGGTGAGCCAGAGTGCTCTTCAGAGGCAAAGATGATGAGGCTTTGCCTCACATACTTTGGGCATGTCGCTAGGAGAGGCTATTCCTTGGAAAGGGACATGATACTGGGGAAGGTGGAGGGTCAGCAAAGGAGAGGAAGACTCTCAACAGGGTGGACTGACATAGTGACTTGAAATGGACTCGTGTTAGGAAGTATGAAGAGGGCACAGTATAGAAAAAGGTTCAGATCTGTTCATAGGGTCACTATAAGTCATACTCGACACAACGGCACCTAACGACAACCACTAGTATCTCTACTTTACAGTTGAGGAAACTACAGTTCAGAGAGACCAAAGCCCTCGTGATGAGATACTTTAAACCTTGGTTCCTCAGCAGTCATAGGTCAGGATGCAGGATCAGTGAGGCAGATGATGCAATAAAAACTGGGTCAGAAACTGGAGAGAAAAACATCACATTCTATTCTTAGCTGTGCCACCTGTTCTGTGGTCTTGGCCAAGTATTTTGGTCTTTCTGAACCTTGATACTTCTGAATGGTTGTGCTTTTTACAACCTACAGAACTGTTTGGGAGAAATCAACCAAGATAATAAAGTCTTGGAAAATTTTAACACTTTAACCCATTAGGAATGCATAGGGTTGCAAGTAACAAAACCTAATCAACAGTGGTTTAAACAAACAGGTTTCTTTTCAAAGTACAATCAGAAGTCTGGAGGTAGAAGGCATTTGGCATTGTCAGGTACTCAACACCACTGCCAGCTGTCTTTGGGCTGACCTCTAGACTACTCGACGTGTGGTTACTTATCATCCCTGCCACAAACTGGCACCAGCACATCCTCAGTTATGTCTCACTAGTCAGAAAGATTTCACTTATTCACTCATAAAAATGAGGAGTTATTGTTTTATGCCGTCAAGTTAGATGCTTCAGTCAGTTTTCAGAGGCAAGAAATCACATACGAAGAGATTGCCCATCCTTCTCCTGCAGAGCAGTTAGTGAATTTGAACCATGTTCCTTTGGGATTGGAAGACAGCTTCTTACCACTAGGCTACCAGAGCTCTCTGATAAAAATGAGCACTATTTTATTTTACTGGCTCTGATGGCACAGTCCATAGTGAGTTGCACTACTAACACAAACGCACGTCTGGTGGTTCACATCCACTGTCAGCCCCAAGGTTGAAGGGTTGGCAGTCTCCTCCCATCTTGACTCACAGTCATGGAAACCCAGTGGAGGGTCGTTATGAGTTAGAACTGACTTGTTAGTTTGGGTTTGTTTTAGTAGAAGCAGATAAAGAAAAAAGGAGGTTGAGAATGGATGTCTGCCAGTCGTCTTAGAATGCTTGCCTCCATTTTATATAACCAAGCTCTGGTTATTGTATGTTTAGCTACTATTAACACTCTAAAACCTGCTTTTATTAAAAAAAACAAAACATCAGTTAAAAAAATTCAATATGTATGCTGAACAAATCATTCAAGAAGCTGAATAAACAATGTGGCATTAGAATTGAAGGAAAAGTCAGCAACAACTTGCATTATGCAAATAGAACAACCTTGCTGGCTGAAAAGGAGGATTACTTGAAGCACTTGCTGTAGAAGATCAAAGACTACAGCCATAGTATGTATTACATCTCAACATCAAGAAAATAAAAATCTTCACCACCCCACCAATAGATGGAGACAAACTTGAAGTTGTCAACTATTTCATTTTATTTGGATCTACCATTAACACTGGCAGCAGCAGCCAAGAAATCAAAAGATATTGGAGAAATCTGCTATCAGGGACCTCTCCAGTGTACTAAAAAGCAGCAGTGCCAGTTTAAAAGACAAAGGTGTGCCTGATCCAGGCTATGGTCTGCTCGATTGCTTGCTATGCATCTGAAAGTTGGACAATGACTAAGGAGACAGAAGAATTTATGCCTTTGAGTTCTGGTGCTGGAGAAGAGTACATATCCTTGTAGAAAGTGAAACCACAAAACAAATCTGAGATATCATCTTAACCCAATAAGAATAGGAAAATTCAACAAAGCGGCAAACAGCAAATGCTGGTGAGGTTGTGGAGAAACTAGAAAACCCTTATTCACTGTTGATGGGAGTGTAAAATGGTGCAACCACTATGGAAGGCTGTATGGCGCTTTCTCAAAAAGTTGCAAATAGAAATTACCACTTGACCCAGCAATTCCATACTGGGAATTTACCCTAAAGAAACCAGAACTGCCTCCCAAGCATATGCACATAGTGTTTATTGCAGCTTTGTTCACAATAGCAAAGAGTTGGAAACAACTCAAGTGCCCCTCAACAAAGGAATGAATAGAGAAGCTATGGCATATTCATATAATGGAATACTCTGCTGCACTGAAAAACAAAGAACTCATGACATAATATACAAAATGGGTGACATTATTCTGAGTGAAATATCTCAGTCACAAAAGGACAAATACTGCATAGTTCCACTGTTGTAAAACGGGACTGACATCAGGGTTGGGGGGAACCTAAGAGGGGATAAAGAATGTACACAGCATTGAAACAGATGAGGGAGAGAACTGTTTAAAAGGAATATATGATTAGGTATTATTTTTATGGCAAGAGTCCAGAAAAAGAAATGCATATTAAAGTAGCCTGTGGACTGGGGAGGGAGGGATTGTAAAACAATAAAAGATTTTTTTTTTCTTCAAAGAGAAAAGTGAACTGGGGGGAAGGGGTGGGCAGAGAGGAAAATGTGCAACAATGAATGAATGGGGGGAATTAAATGGGAAGAATATGCTGTAAAAAATATATATATGTTGCACTTAAAAAATCATTAATAAAAAAAAGATGTTAAAAAATGGAAAAAAATTGTAAAAAAAAAAAAGGAAGTGAAACCAGAGTGTTCCTTTAAAGTAATGATGTTGAAACTGTGCCTCATATACTTTGTGTGTGTTGTTAGGGAGGGGCCAGTCCTTCTTAGAGGATATCACGCCTGAAAAGGTGGAGGGTCAGCAGAGATAGGAAGACCCTCAGTAAGATTGATAAATGGCTGCAACAGTGGCTTCAGGTGTGTCAGAGACAGCAAGGAAGGTGCAGGGTAGGAGGATTCAGATCCGCTCTCCACAGGACCACTGTTAGTTGTGGTCGACTCTGTGGCACATAACAACAGTCGTGTATGATTACCTTTTTTTGTTTTTTCTTTATAAACATAGTGTGATTTTCCTTAATAAAATAAAATAATGTATAGCAATTTTTACAGATATCCAGAGAGAAAGAAGAGAAGTGATAAGAAAAATTGTTCAGACAACTACAAGAAGACCAAGTAATGGACCTTGGGGTAACTTGGGCCCTGGAAGACCACATAATGAGACCAGACCCAATATTCAAGAGGACTCAGAACCCTTCAACCCAGACAATCCTTACCACGTGAGTACCACACTCCCCAAACTCACGCGAATGAATGCATCCACCAATATGGGCATGGTGAGGCCAACTTGAGGTTTCAGGTGAGCATTCAGACTTTCCTGAGACTTGTGCTCAATTATTTTAGAAATACATCTTAAGAATTGAGGACAAGAGCACTTTAGTGTAGCCGCTGTAATATAAAATCTTATTTACTTCTAAGCCTTATTCAGTTGGTTTTTGGTTTTTAAGGGGAGCTTACAGGCAAATCCATGCAAACAAATTCCTACCAGGAATTTTATTATATGAAAATGTTTCTCAGACTGCACCCTGGAGTGACGTATTCTTCCCCATTCATATTAATTTCATTCATCTACTGATGTTACAATTGTGGTGTGCCTGTTCTCTTCCAGCCTCTGTACATAGTTAGTGCCTTTAGTCCAGCCCAGGAGACAGACACAGGAAAAGGCTCTCTACGCGGAAACACTGAGAGATGGTGTTTGTCATGATGACACTGAAATATCCTCAAAGCTCCAGTGAAATATTATTTCCATTACTATACTTCCTAGGGAGTTAAAGCAGAATAAGATTTATTTGTAACTTCTTTAATTGAAAACAATAATAGATGCATATAAACTATCTCCACACTTTGTAACAATCTTATTACCTGACACTTCACATTTATAGTAGTAAAGAAATTTCCTGTATGACTATTGTGTTTACAACACACATCTGGCCACGATGAACACTGAGGTGCAAGGTGAGACAAGGATGTGATGGGCAAGGTTACCTGCCAAGTTATCCGAGCTCTGATTCTCAGTGGTTTGGCTGTTACAGAGTCGTCCTCTATTTCCCCACAACCACTTGGTTTTTGTAAACTACCAGGGCATATATTTTTCAAAATAGTACCAAAAAGGTATACAGTAGCCCATCAGCAAAAGAATGGATAGAGAAGCTATGGTATGGAATACACAATGGAATACTACACTGCATTGAAAAACAAAGAACTCAAGAAATATTATTCAAAATGAGTGACCCTGGAGGACATTATGCTGAGTGAAATATCTTAGTTACAAAAGGACAAATACTGCATAGTGCTACTGTTGTAAAACAACACTGACATCAGGGTTGGGGGAGACTGAGAAAGTTGGCATAAATAATGTATACTGCATTGAAACAGATGAGGGAGAAAACTGTTTAAAAGGGATATGTGATTAGGTATTATTGTCATGACAGGAGTCCAGAGTGAAGGCTGCATAGTGGAGTGGACCTGAGGAGAGGGATTATATAACAATGAAAGAATTTTTCTTTTACTTTTCAAAGAACTGGGCGGGGGGGGTGTGCTAGGGATGGGCAGAGAGAAAAGTGCAACAATGAATGAATGGAAATCCAAAGTCTCTGTAAATTTTCATTAAAATTAATAATAAAAAAATAACCAAAAAAAG